CTTTGTCGCAAGGTTGTGGCGGGGGGGGGGGGGGGGCTCGTGTGTGAACCTATTGAGACAGTTGATCCTAGACCGGAATTGATGTCCCGGATGGAAGTGGAATACTTCCTCTGGATGCCTTGTCGCTTTTATACCCCTCTGGAGTCACTCTTCGGCTACGGTCTACCTGGTTGAGCTGGATACTATCTTTGCATTCGTGGTTATTGCTACACGGGGTCAATGTTGTCATTCTAGTTATTCTCACGAAAACATGGCCAAGGACATGATGTATCATATATCTACACCGATTACCCCGCGCCACGTATCTAGCGCAGCGGACAGACCACGAACGACCCAAGGTACATCTTGTGCAAATTGAACCATGACAGAAGGCTCTGTACATACACATGAAACCGCATCTATGGAAGACATCGCCTAATCAAGCGCTCTGACCTCAACAGCTTGAGCTCCCCTTGTTCCCTGTGACACTACGAACTCGACCTTTTGATTCTCCTCTAGACCATTCTGCCCAGTCTAAACAAGAAGAGTTATCTTTTAGCACACTCTCATCCAAATGTGTCCTTTCTCAATTATTTTGTACATACCTGAAGGCCAGAGAAATGGACGAAAATATCTGGCGAGCCGTCGTCGACCTGGATAAATCCATACCCCTTCTCGGAGTTCCACCATTTCACTACGCCTGTTGCCATGGCTATCGGTTGTGGTATTGACGGATATTCTTGGGAAAGGATTTTGAAGGAAGTCAGAAAGCCCGCACTGGGAACTGTATTTTTCCTAGAGAAATATCAACTCTGTCTGTGGTTGCTGAGCCCTTCTCGGAAATATGGGAATATGGCCTGCTTATATGCTGGCTGGCTGAAAATTAAGGTTCAAGCTTAGAAAGACTCTTTCTGCCCCATTGAGGGGCCCAAGCAATTGGATCGCGATCGGCAGAGTATGTTTGCCTGTAGTTCAGCTGACGATGTGCAAATATGGCTCAGCTGAAGCAGGACAAGCATTAAATACCTGCCGGTATAGGGGGTTCAAACAGGCGCAGCGAGATGCGCAGAAGGTCGAATAATCCATACTTATGGATTTCTGCTCTACTTAGAGTCATCTGCAAATGTGCTGAGTTCTCATGCAACAGCGTACAGGTTGATCTTCAGTAGAACTGCCGCTTCTGTGTGATGACGGAATTGCTCAGGGTGGGGCGTGGAGACTAAATCTAGCGAGCTGAGACTATTCTATCCAGACAAACCTTATGCGCCAGTGTTAGTTCTAAGGCCGATGCGAAAGAGGTTTCTTTTGGCCTTATGGAACAACTACATGGAAAGCGTCGTATATTGTCCCTTCCTTTGGTTACGTTGTCTGAGGCCGTGCTGTGCCCTCTCGACAGCTGTCCAGAGGAGATGGAAACAAGGGCATTTAAAGTAACGGATGTGAAGAATGAAGGTTGCTTGGACTAGTAGTGGATGCTGAGAGATCATATAGCTTTGGAGCTAATGAGTAGTATCACCTGAAGTCCCTATATTAATCAAAAGCTGACTCCGTAGCCCTAGATAGAAAGTAGATCTGATATCTTTCCATTCTATACTTCACTACAACAGGCGGATTGGCTGATGGGAATATATATATGGAAGTAGACGGTATGAAGTCACCCTCAATATTAATGTTAGCCCAGGTCGTTGCTAATGGATTCCAGAAACACATGTCCATAATATAGAGGGTAGTTCGGAATCTAGTGGATAATCATACTCCGTCTCATCTTGACAGCAGTAACCGCCACTACGCATGAAGAAGAAAATATCCTTCTTATGTTAAGGCTCTAGAAACTGTGTCTTCTACCTTTTATTATATGCAAGCTATACTAAGAATCTCCGCCGATGGGGCTTGGTCCATCTCATGGACCAAAGTGGTTTGTGTTAGCTTTGCATTAGGATTGCGTATCACAAACACTCCGCGGGCAAGTCATGCTAACTATCGTGTCTTGAGATTGCTTACTAGGATCTCAGTAAATTCAACCATTTCTCTTGACTGCTTGCATTTTGATTGTATGGAACATATTGTGTCATTGATAAGGTACGAGGGACAGCAATTCCACTCAGCGAAGAAAAGCCATGTACTCATGGCGACTAGAATAATGCGAGCGATTGAGCCTTAAACACAAGGCAATAAATGTAGCGAGATAGCCACGAAGCCTGTTGACAGTCCGTTCGCGTAATATAGGACAAGTACTAGTAGTCAAGAAGTCAGAAAAGAAATCAACACTGCAAAACAACAAGGCCTGTTGACAAGTTTACAATTTGTTGGACGACTAGCCATTGCATTCGCTTCCGAAGCAATAATATTCAATAATAAATGCAGGAAAAGCCTGTTGGAGGGAGTTGTTCTACCATATCTTCCCTAGGATGTGCTATTTAACCTATTTCCTCCTTCCTAGAACGGTAATAAGTGTTATACCTAGCATAAGACGTTGCAAGTGTTCGTCAATGTCCATATGTGTACTTTTTGGAGAGTTTATATCTGCTCTGGTAGCATTTGTTCGGAGGATCTCTTTTGACTCTTCGCCGTCAACCGCCGTTGCAGAGAGTTGGTGCTCGATGTCTAGCAGCTTTTTTCTTGCTGAGTCGTTCACGGACACCAACGGCAGCCATCTCTCCTTCAACTCTATTTGCATTGAAGGCCTCGAATGATGATCCAAATACAGAGGGGCCCTGATTACCTATCAGCTGGTGCATAGTCTGTGCCTGTGTCAGAACAAGGATGCGTCTTGGGATCCCTTGTTTCTATTCCATGTATACCTCTTCGGGATGATATACTCCGATACGACGCCTTTGATCGTGTAGATGACTCAGCCCATTTACCAATGCACTGTGTGCACGGTGTACATCATGCTCTGAGGTGAGCTACCATTACCTCCAGTAATGGTTTTTATTTTTTTAACTTCATGACATTGAAGACTCGGTAGATGGAACGCGAAGCCATCTGATAGAAGACCAAAGACACCCGCATTTTCTCCGTCTCTGACAAAATGATTAGCATTGACAACTGTGCTAAACATTAGTTAGCTAATAATGTACAAAGTGATTGGATATTGTAAAACTCACCTATATAAGCAAGGAGTTCAGCTAGATCACGATTAAAATTATCACGTCTTTTTATCTCCATGATTGAGAGGGCACTCGTGCTCTTTGCCGAATTAATATAGAGGAGCGCATAGTTAGTCTGTCCTTGTACTCGCTTCCTCTTCGTTCTCCAGGTAAGCGAAGTTTCAAACTGGAGGTTTACTCCAGCTGATTCTGGCTTTTTATAAGCCCTATGTCGAAACTGTTGCCCTCGAAACCTCCTCCAGGACCTCCCCCAGAAGGACCCCCAATCCCAGTGCCCCCGTTCTGGCCTTCCTCTTGACAGCCACAACAGTCTCCAACAACAACAGTCTCGTGCAAGACCACCCGCCACTTCCCCTGTGCTATAAAATCTTCCCATTAGGAATGACAATATGGCACTCCAGGTCGAGGACCGGTTCGAAGTCCGTCGGACTGGGTGATGGTAACCTCATTTATACAAGCCCCTCAAAGAAGCAGATCCAGGGTACCCCAGCTTCATCCGCTATGGGTCATAGTTTATTTGGTCCTATGCCCTTCAGTCAGGCAGCCAAGAGAGCAATGTCTGACAGAAACCATCCATCCCATGTCCCGCCACCAGTCTGGACATTAGGGTGCGCTGCAGCTGCAACAACAGTAGTATCATGAAACTGCGGTGCCATCATAAACCATTTGGACAATGCGAGCCCGTAAACACGTTCTGGGGCTTTTTGCCCGCTAAATTCGGTCAGCAGCGGCTTTTCTATAGTTGGCAGGAAATTATACAGACCAAAGCAACAACCAAAAGAGGGTTTGTCTCAGCACAACGACCAAATGGCATTCCCTTAAGTAGCTCCCCAAGCCTGAACGATTTGAGAGAGTCTTTGCTCCATCCACCAAGATTTAGAGACTTGGAATAAAACATATAATACTGGACCCGGTTAAGCACATAACCCCAAGACCCTGTCGCAGCCTTATCTATCATACATCCTGCCATGCTAGTGCCGAGGAAGAATTTTGGAGTTTCCCCTTGGGTATCTTGCAATGTGTACCGTACCACACATGGCGGACATGTACAGCACATTCTAGAGCACCATTGGTCATATACTGCAGCAACCGTGAGGTAAAAGTTCCGCTTAGTTGCGCCCAATGGTGCTGGTCCTAAGCTGGATAGCAGATCGTGTCAAGCAGTGCTAGGCACACGGTGCACGTCCTCCATTAGGATATTCCAGTCTAAAACTTGGCATGGCAATAAACATGCCACATAAAGGGACGCATAATTGGTGGCGTAGCGTAACACGTGAGGTATAATACGCCTCAAACGCAGAGCTCTCAATGCTCACACCACCGCGGGGATGTACCTCGAGAAAACCAGCCACTCGGTTATTGGTACGCTTGTTCCACTTTAGGATCACGCAGCATTTGTATGCGGCGCTTTATTCTGCAGCCAGGGAGTCCTGGCGTCAAGGAGTCTGGCTAGATCAGATATTAATTAAAGCCTGGAACCGAGAACATATTTTTTAAATACCACTGTCCTAGCGGTGAAGATTTGTCGTAATCTAATATATCTTTGGTCCAGTGAAAACCTCGGAGAATCTTGCTGGGCTGGATTCTGTATCAAAGTATATAGGGAGAAGGCGGACGTCTTGTGCGTCTGCCATGCTAAAGGATCTCCATAGATGACTTACTATGGAAGAGGTCTGTATAAAGGATTTAATTTAAGGACCCTTGGGGATCCGCTTTGGGCTTCTGTTTAGGTAGTTTAGGTATGGACTTGATTGGTAGGGCAAGGAGAAAACGAGGTGGCGTTCTTGGAGATTTGACTTCATTAGGGCTATATATATTTGTGTGTATGCGTATATATTCATCCGTTGGGATGAATATGTTACCTTTCGGGAATGTCTACATAGGTTCACTGTCCTACTGAAATACACTGATGTTGTCACCAAAGAATTGTATGAATGAAGAAATGCTCTATATCTATTCCTTGCGTCGAGTCACGAAGTTGAATTCCAACCCAAATTCATCACGGCACAGCCTCCGAACCAGGTAATATACAGATCGAGTGAAAGAGAAACCGTTCTGGGCAGATAATATCATGCTTAATTCACGTAAGCGAAAATACCAAAAGATTGAGATTGATAACAGAATCGAATCCTTCTCACCCTCCAATGAACAGCGGTACCAAGGTAGTATACTGCGGTAAGTCGAGTGGAAGGCCTGAGGTAAAAACCACCTGATGCCGGTGGGTCAACGTCCAGTTCGTCAGACACGATTCGGTAGCTGAAGGACAAGTGGGGACCAGCCAAGCAGGGGTACCGGCCAATCATGGCTGGGGATATGGACGGGAAGGATGCAACTAAGTCGAGACGGTACTTGTCCGTTTAGTGTCCTCCGTGTGTTTGAACTTAGTACAGTCTGTACCACTGGTACCGTACCATCTACCATGGCGGGCGGTTTATTTATGGAAAAAATACTGGGTCGAGGGTGTTTCATTGGGCGGGATGTCGCCCCAAGCGAGAGAGAAAGAGAGAAAATTTCGGGTGAAAAAGCCTAGCTGGGCTAGGAAAAGGGTCCCATGATGTGCGGCAACGTTGAATGGTGACGGGGAAATTATCCAAGTGACA